AATGCATCATATGACTAATCATCTTTGGAAAAGTTCAGGAAAAATATTTTATCACAGATCAACGCAAGTCGTAAACGTCATATCCAAATGGAAAAACTTAGTGTCTACCAAATGTGTGCACACATATGTTCAAGATGGATGAAATGCAACAAGAAATCATATTCTGTTGATACGCGTACACGTGTAGATTGTCGATTGAGTTGGTGTAAAATATCGACATGGAAAAATTGTATTAATAGGACCTCGATAATTGAAGTCTATTCCAAAAACTTTGAACGATTCAATAGTTTAGTTATTTCTTGAGAAAATCGTGGAGTGAAAAATGGCAAAATTTCGAGACATATTTTTTCATTGCATGGTTATGTCTCTCTAATGGTTGCCGGTATGCAAACACAGATAAGAAAATAAGAACTATGCATCATTATAAAAAGTAACCAGAGAGAAAAGAATAGTCAAATAATGTTTTAACTTTCTTTTGCTGTTATTGAAGCATTTATCATTGTAATAGTGGTGTGTTGAAAGCAGAACAAATAAAAGACGTACTTTGCGCATTATCAAAAACGAAAAGAAAGCTTGAATTCTTTATAATGGTCTTTCATATTCTCCTAATAATATTTCTCATCACCATTTTATTAATAGTCGTGGTTGTCTATTGGAAATTGATTCGTCCAGAAAAGCGTTTGTATGATGAACTCCGCAGACAAGGTGTACCAGGCGAAGCATTTGTGCCGATTATTGGTCAACTACCAGACCTACGTCGTGCTAGAGAAAACGGTAATGTTATGTCATACTTATACAATCTTAGTGAAAAATATGGGCATCATTTTCTGTTTTCTTTTGGTCCTTTAATGCGTATTGTCATAGCCGAACCGGATATGATTGCTGATATTATTGGTCGTCCATACGCTCATAACTATGTTAAACCAGACGTATTTGTTAATATTTTCAAACCATTAATTGGTTCACACAATTTATTAGTTAGTGAAGGATATGAACATGAAAGAACTAGGAAAATGCTCAATCCGGCTTTTCATTTTGTCAACTTGAGATCAATGGTTTCCATTATGACTAATGAAACAGCCAAAGCTATTGACAAACTTTTTTCAACATCACAATCAAAATATATTGATTTACACATGGAAATGAGTAATCTCACCTTATCAATTATTATGTCGAGTGCATTTGGTAAAGACTCCTCAACAGTAGGAAGTTTTAATCAAACCATGTATCAGACAATTAACGAAGTTCTTGACGCAATTCGATATCGATTGATGTATACCATTACTCAAATTCCTTTTCTATCACGTCTGCCTTTCTGGTACAAAAAGGTCATCGATAATGGTGTTCGACAGATCACTCGTTCTGTTGAACAAGTCATTAGTGATCGACGACAAGGTCAATCAATTAGTCTATGTTCTGGTCCAGATCTTCTTGATCTCTTGTTATCAGCTGTGGATAGCGATGGAAAATCATTTACTGATGAAGAAATCAAAGATCAAGCTTTGACCTTCGTTTTGGCCGGTCATGAAACAACCAGTAATCTTATGTCATGGGTCATGTATGTTTTGATGACAAATGAATCTGTTTTTCGTGCATGCCGCGAAGAAGTTGACAAAGTTTTACCGAACGGTACGGAACCTACTAATGAACTTGTTGGTAATCTAGTCGTGTGTGAAGCGATCTTACAAGAAACTCTTCGTCTCTATCCACCGGCACCTCTTTTTGTGCGAAAATGCATGCGTGAACATATCATTGGAAAAGAAGGACAGCGGCAATTGCACATTCCTGCTGGTACCACGATAGTAATCAATACCTATACGCTTCATCGACGAGCGGACTACTGGCCTCGACCACTCGAATTTGACTATACACGTTGGGTGCGTGATCCAATAACAGATTTGAAACCGAAATTATCTCATCCTTTCTGCTATTTGCCATTCGCTGCCGGACCACGCAATTGTATTGGACAACATTTTGCAATGCTTGAAGCTAAAGTAATGTTGGCTATGTTTGTGCAACGATGCAATTTTGTAATTGAACCGGGGCAGAAAATTGTGCCAGAATTTACCATTACCATGAGACCAAAGCATGGCCTTCGTGCTCAAGTCAGCAAGAGACTGTGAAACAATTATATTATTCACTAACTACCAATGTATGATCTAATTATTGAAAAGAAGAATTTTTTTCTTATATGGAAATCCTGTTAGAGGGTGTGGATGTGTTTGTTTTCTAACAACATCCACATTGTTGGTGTTACAAAAGTCAACGATTTTCTACTTTTTGACAAAATCATATCTCTTAACTCATATGACAATTTCTTATACGATTGCACTCATCAATGGTCTATCTCTATCAAGACTTCTTATAAAAAGCGTATCCAAAGGTCAGGATATCGCACGTGAGAGTGGACGAGCGGATAAGTCGGGATTCATCCAGGAGATTTCTAAAATATTGGAGAAGTTTGTTTCTCTTCTGACTTATCTGTACACAGAGAGGCAATATTCAATTCCTAGTTTTATCAAATGCTTTTGATGCCGAAAGGTATTATATTATTATCATTTCTGCTCAGACTACCACTCTCAATGAAAGTGTTCTTTTTCTCACTTTATGTGTAATATGAAAATTTCATTTTTCTTATTTGAGATACAAGAAAAAAGAATGTTAACAGTTTATTCCTGTAAAATGTGAGCTTCAACATTATGTGGCTTATGATGACTAGGGGTTCGAAACTTGAACAGATTAAAAACTATATTTGTAAGACAAATTTTACTTCCATAGGCCCTTGTGAGAAAATAGAAACAAAATTTATAAAAAGTAAAAACATACCTGATTTTTGTAGTACAAACTCGATTATATATCGAGAATGAACTGTCATGGTCATATATGGTTTAGACTTTTTCTTAGTGTCAACGAGTTCTATTCTGGAGAAATTATAAGCTCAAAATCGAGGAATCCAATGGGGTAGTTCTCTCGTAAGTAAATCAATCAGTATGATCTCATATTTATGTTCCAGTGCATCGGTTTCACATAACAAAAATAGAAATTTATAGAAAAAAAATACCTTCGATCAGAACAAAAAGTTGAGTACTGTCTAAAGAAGCAGATGACCCCTAGATTTAGTGAATTTGTCTAAACTGAATCCAGCTTTATATCTTTATCTCGATAAATATACATCATGGCTAATCCGGTAAACCTTGTTGATTACATTGTTTGGTATCATTTGTAGACGAAGCAACTATTTGACTTGTTACAATATATCTCGAGACAAACTAAATGTGATATTGATGATGTTGACAATGATGATGGAAGTTTAAAATTGTTCTAATTATGAATTTAAATATGATTGAAATGATGAAAAATGTTAAAATTCATTAAAAATTGGTGCTTGTGATTTATTCCCATGGTTGTGCTAAGACGAATTTTAAATTAAAAAGTGTCCGAAAAGAACATTAAGAAAAGTAGTCTGTAACATAATAAAACTCACATTATATTCGAATTCATTTATAGTACTTCGAACAACACATAGCACGAAAGATCAGATATTTCTCAGATAAGATTCAAAACTTCTACATAGACATTAGATTGTCTTTTTTTTTAATCTTAGTTGCAGTGTTACTTTTTAGTAGTTCGAATTATTCTTTGTTCTTGTCTATTTTTCAAGTGATTTTGAATTATTGATCAATTAGCAGAAGAAATAACTAATATTCTTTGGTATTCATCACTGGTCTTCAACAGAAAACTTTACTTGCCATTAGGATCGTGCTTGGACAACCGAGACAAACTTGTTTCAGAGAGTTTTTCGATTTCAAGATTTTGGTTGTTTGATGCAGACATTTATTACAGAGACGTTCTTAAAAAACCCTTATTTGTTACTTCTGTTTGCGAGGGGCAATGGTTGCTGGATCGTCGTGTTGATAGATCCACCACTGCCATGAAGAGCCTCACTTGATTGTTTGTTACGTTGAGTTCTATTATTATATATAAAAAATTTTGACGAAAACAAAATGTCGAAAGAAAAAAAGTGTCAAATGTACTTAAACATCGAAAAGTTCAAAGATGTCCTAAAATAGACAGTTTTACTGTCGGATTATATTGTTATTGGTGTCTATCGTTACTTTATAATATTCTTGGTAATTCCTCATTGTGTAAGGTGATCAATTGACAAAGAAGAACAATAAGTATTGTCTAACTAGAAGATTGAACGAAGTGTTGATTTTTTTAATTTTAGGTATATTAATCCGCTTTTCGCTCTAATTCAACCATAATTCATTTAATGTCAAATACTAGTTGTAATACACATTTTCGGTTTCAAACAAAGGTCATTCTTTACATGCTTCACAAATAATGAAATTCATTTCGACGAAGTATTAGATAGTTTATTATTAGTTGTAGTAAAACAAAAGCAATAAGCTTCAATAGTAAACATGGATTTTAATCGCTGCTGCACAATTGTTCACACCTGAATATAATTTCAGCTTTTTTTTCTTTCTATCTTTTTGATACACACAGTTCTAGTGCATCTATATTATAAGATAACATGTTCCTATAACACTAATACACAAGTAATGATTAGCATGTTTTTTAGCATTAATACTAAGCCAGTACCTCCTAACATCGATCGAATTGGTAGATGAAGATTTATTTTGAGTGCAATATTTCGTATTAATCCATTTCTTTTCTATTCATGTGTGCATTGTCGTCAACATGTTTACTAGGTAAAGTTCGATACCATTTTTGATGATTCTTTACCATGTGACATTGCAAACGATGCAAATCAACGAGATTGACGAAATATGACGATGCTAAAAATAGCCATTAGTGCTCTTTTTTCTTTCTCTATTTAAGCTGAATAAATCTCGTTACGTGTCCATTATGCAAATTGATTTGATGTTGAAAAGCAGAAATGGTTTGATCGATCGAATAGTTGATTTTTTTTTCACTTTTGATTTCTGCTGATGATGCTTTTTTCGTATTCTAGACATTAACTACGTAAATCAAAAATGGGTAATTATATCGTAAAAAAAGAATCATCGAACACGGAAAATCCAGTTCGAAGGAAAACTCGCTTTTCCACACAACTCACTTCAAATGGTAAAGTTTTGCATTTTTTTTCTCTGATCAATTCGACAAAATTCTTTCTTTTTTTTAGATGTCGCCACTCTTCAATCAGAATATAACTTGAATGAAAATGGTAAAAGAATTTTTAGTTTTTGAAATTGAAATCATTCATTTATTTTATTCTTTTTTTCTAGAAGTTGAAGAATTGCGTCATGTAAGTGTTTATAATTTATCGAGTTGGATTTTATTTTTTCTCTTTTTTTTATTAAGAAAATACGTCGTGCTTCAATTCAATCTATTCCGAAACATTTTCCTTTCGTCTAAATCTGTTTGTATAGAACTGAATTGCAGAAAGCATCAGTTAAATTTCTTGTCAAAATTGTTTTATATTTGAAAAGATCGAGGGTGTGGGTGTGGGCGTGGGCCTAATTGTAAATCAAGATTAATTCATATTCACACTCTCATCAGAACATATAAAAAGGGCACTTTTAAGTTTCACCGATGGATAAGAATGCAATGATCTTTTGTGAATATCTATCTTCAATGAAATTCATAATAAACAATTTGATACTCCACTCTACCTACTACAATCGAGCAAAGAAGAATGACTGCCGATCGTGCTCAATCACTTCCGGCAGCCACTGATAAAATGTCGAACAAAGAACAGAAAAACAAAAGAATTCTCGATCTACGTTGCCATCTGTTTTTCCATTCATTCTATGAACATGAAATGACTTGTCCATGGCGCAATGTGTACTTAATCAAATAGAAATATAGAAAAGCTACGCATCAAGAGTCAATTGTATTTATCCAGTTCATATTCGTGTAGTACTTAGCACACAAAAATGTTTGCTCTTGTACATTAATGAATCACTCATTTACCGGTTCAGATCATTTTTTTTATCGATCAACAGCTACTGTAAGTTAAGTGTTCCACAGCCTTACTTACACCGTAAGGTATGTCCATCTTTGCTTTGTTGATGCCACTTCATCGACTAGTCTCAGGAGAACTTCTCTATCATTCCATTTACAACCTTCTTTTGTTTTCCATTTCAATTTTATATGCACTAGTGATATGACATAGGCGCAACGATAATTTTCCATGAACAGTTTTCATCAAACCATTATGTCCATTGACCATTGTGTCTCTTTCACTGACGAGTTTTTTTTCCCTTTTAGATTCGTTCATGACCATTACATGACGGTATGGATTAGTAAGTTTTTATTTTTCTTGTTTCTCAATTGACCGAATCTGTATTCTTTTTGATTCATTGATCAGAGAAAAATCGAGGATATCAATTAGATTATCCATCCGTACGTTGTTTCTTTCTTTTCTCATTTGAACGAAGTTTCTTTGTTTTATAGAAATAGGAAGTGTAAGTTTGAATACGAGTTTGGAGAGCTCCTTTCTCTTACAAAAATGGTCTTGATAAAATAGTTGAATTAAAAATTTATTACACTACGCATATTATGTTTCAGCTGATAGATAATTGACTAATGTAATCGATCTAACTAATAAGCTTTTATATAAACATTCTAGTAATCAATACTGAATGATTTTATGGTAATATGAATCTGCTATAGCTGTCGTTTTTCTCTTTGTACACGTTTCACTGTCGAATAAAACTCAGTTTATATGTGTGCAGTATTTCCACTGTACTCTCAACATCAGCCTTGAGGAGAATGCAATTTTTCATTCATTTCTAAGTGTACAATTGAATCTGTTGAAGAAGCACATGAAATCCTTACGTGTGAAAGAATGTAATATGTCATTGCAGTTATCTGTTGCATTCATGATCAGAACGAAGTAAGTATGTTCAAATTCATCTCATTTACCTCATAATAAGAAATGGAAATCCTAATAATGTCCTGACGAAAGCTTAGCTACTAGGATTCTAAACAAAAAAAGGAAGTGAGATTCGGATAAAAAATAAAGAACGTGAAGTGGAATTATATGCTAATTAAAAAATGATTTAAGATTCTATGAAATCATGAATAAAATTTATTGAAATTTGACAGAGACTCATGACTAAAAATTCAAGATTCTACCAAAGACATATAAGTTCAAAGAAAGACTAATATTTTAGGGAAACGTTTTATTGAATAAGAAAACAAAAATGATGCAGTAAAAGAGTATACTTCTAGTGAGAATGACCCTCGGTTGTACGTGAGTTATGCCAAATCATACTCGAGAAAAACTTGTCACTTTTAGTCGTTACAAAAAGAAAGGACATAGTACGTCAACAAATACTATTGGTGAGCGTCTTCTAATAAGATTCTTCATTCTTATATTCATTTTCTGTTCGATTACCGTGACGGCGAAATATTCTGAGTTGCACTGAGACACTCTTCTGTTTCTTTCTCTTCATATGTCTTACCTATATAAATTGACGAAAAAGAATCGGCATATTGCTTCTATATTTTTCTCTCACCTGAATATAACGACAGTAGCAAGGCTAGTACTGTATCATTTTCACGTATACCATGGCTTCCGAACGCATATCACCGCTTATTCTTGATGGTCTATCAAAATATTTGTCAATAGCCTCCCATCGTTTCATCGAATATGCTATATTCGCATTCGTCGAACTCAATTTGGCTGATCGGTTAGTCAATGCCGTACCCGATCAAGGTTTGACCGTTCAGGAGATCATGAGCGATGAACGCTCAAGCTGGAATGCAGATTTGCTTTATCGTGTATTACGTTCGTGTGCCGATGGTGGTATTGTTGAACGAATTAATGATGACAAACATTTTGTTCTCTCTCAATCCGGTCGAATGCTTACATCAGATCATCCATCACATGCTCGTGATTTTCTTCGTTGGATATTGGGACCACTAAACTCCAATGCCGGTAATCAATTGCCTAATCTCGTGTGTAATGAAGGTACGGGATCAGGATTCACTCGCTTTACAGATGGGTTGGATTTATACACATTTCTTTGTCGATCTGATCAATCAGATCTTATGACTATATTTAACGGTGCTATGACGACTGTGTCAGCAGTCACTGGTACAAAACTAGTGATAAATAGTGACTTTGGTCGTTTTGCAACTCTGGTTGATATTGGCGGTAGTTCTGGCATATACTTAGCTCAAATTCTTGAACATTACCCAAGTATTGAACAAGGAATTGTATTCGAATTGCCAGGTGTCATTAATCAAGTTAAGAATGGTGAAGAATTCAAATTACGTAACATTCCTGAGAGTAGATATAAGTTTGTCGCTGGTGACATGTTCGATTCATCGACGATTCCACAAGGAGATGCTTATGTGCTCAAAACTTTTTTGCATTGTTTTGATAATGAAAAAGTCATTGCCATTTTGTCGTCGATCCGAAAAGCAAATCAAAATCGTATTGGACAATCATTAGTGAGTCTCTTCATTGTCGAATATATTATTTTCCCGGATAGAGCCATGAGCAACTGGCAATCACACGCATTCGATATAGCAATGGCTTATGCTTTTGAAGGTGCATGTGAACGAACACAGCAAGAATATGAACAACTTCTTGAAACAACTGGTTTCAAACTGAAAAAATTGTATCCAATTCAAGCACCACATTCAATCATTGAAGCTGTATTGATCAATTAACATTCATTGTTTTCTCGTTTTAATAAAATATCCTAAAATGATATTAATTAATTGTAATAAATATTCTGCAGAGTATCTATTCTTAGAGTAGAAAATATCCTCACAACTTTTTTGAAACATTAGTTATTAGTAAAATCGAAACAATACGAATTTTCAGTCACTTTAATATAGAGATGTGACCTTCACTATCTCTATTTAGAATTCTCAAGAAACTTTTTCAATATTATAGGTAACAAGAAAAAGTCTCATGTCGATAGAAACATACGTAGAAAATTATAATATGTCTTGACAAAAATGAACCATGCAAGGTGAATTAAAAACCGTAAAATTATTAATTTTGATGATTGCAATTAATGTTGCTAATAGAAAATGAAAAATGATGATAGTATCTTTTCTATTTGTATGACTGTGAATATGCAGTTTAAAATGTGTACCGTCTGAAAAAGTGATTAATTCTTCTTGTCTGTATACGTGTCTGAAACAAGGGTTTTTCAATCAATGCAAATCCGATTCTGACTAATTTTTCAATTTTCTAATTCTGATGGACTCTTTTCCATCGTTTTTTCAGATTCTTTGAATCTGAATTTTCTAGACGTACATTGAATTAAATTAGTGGATCGTTTCTCAATTCACTGCTTTGTGCTTTCTTTTAAGAGTTTTGCCATTTCTGTCGGATGTGAGATATTGGTGTGGCTGGCTGCGGATATAGGTGTGGATTGTGGGTATGGATAGTTTCAATTTTCTCTGAAATGCACAAATTCACACCAACACTCACACTTTTAGTTTCCGGGTATGATTTTAATTTAGAATGGTGCCATAAAAGATGGCTACTCGTTCTATGACTTAACCTATGGGAAATCTAGTGGCGCCATCTGATATAATTCACTCACACATAAGAATATCCAAGTTTTTGAGATTTAATTGATTTTTTCAACACTTAAAATGTTGATTTAGGAGGAAAATTATAAAAACTCGACGACATAGGTATCGAATTTGTCTCCTATTATAAGAATTCAATATATAAAAGATGTTTCGTAGGAAGTGGGTATAGTCTTTCTTTGGCTACTAATCAACATCGTGCTCTGATAGATTATGGGTGAAAAAGAGTAGATCGTCTCTATTATTATCGAAAGGACGTATTGTTGTTAATCAGATGGTTTGTACGGATTTGAGCTAATAGACAATGATGGAATGATGCAAAAGGAATATCTGCTCATCGATCTATTGATTTTTTCGCCAATCTTTCGTACTATAAAAATCTCTGAATTCTTCATCTGTTCTCATGTGCAAGCGCGATAAAAATGTATATTAGTCGCTTTGTTTCGAGTAGTGCAGGTAAATAATTCAGATTCTTTTATCAAAGTAACAAATCTTTCGTTTTTCATTTCAAATGTTGATGTATCTTTCACATAAGCATGTTTTCGCTTCCATAAACATTCATCATCGTAGCTTCTAAAAATGTTGCGATATATTTCTTAAAAACAATTTGATCTTGTATATAACTACTGAAGAAGAAATTTACCTACACGTTTTTCTAACTATTGAATAGATATATTTTATTTCGATTAGTTATTTGTTATGTGATACAGCCAAAAAGCAAAAAATAAAGTCGCAATAAATAACAGTGCTTAGCGAGTTTGAGAAACATCACTGTTGAGATGAGCGACAGAACCATCAATTTCAAAGATTTCTTTTGTCAGAAGGGAACCATATCTTGATTCGTATTGTTTGATATGAAATTCGTGCTCATTTTCTGCGCATTTGATGATGTTACAGAGCAAACAATACTCAGCATGGTTCTGTATGTTGTTTCTTTCCATTTCGCTACGTCTGTATGATGCTGCCCCAACTTTTGCTTGTTGTTCTGTCAGTGGACGACTTTTGTCAACTTGAAAGTTTTGTGCACAAGGACAATGAGGGTCCAGACCATGTCGACAATGTACAATGGCGTTTAATTCTCTTCGTCGATACCAATTTCCGTTACGCAAAGAATTTCGTTCTTGAGTAGCCTGAAACCTTTGGCCACATTCCATTTGTGGTTGTAAATTCCATCCTTTATCCATCTGGTTCTTTTAGACGTTTGATTATCTAGAAAAGAAAGAGCCAACTCAAGTTACGTTCTCATGGAAAAGCCGTTAGCGCAATCTTTGTAGAATTAAAATGTGAAACACAATGTACCCATTGTTACTCATCCTCCAAAACTTGCCTTTTCTTCTTTATATTGATGCATGTTTCTTCACCACTGGGTACTTTACAGTATAGAACTTTAACAAAGAAATCCTCCATATGTACTCGAATAAAATGTTAGTTTTACATAATTTCCGGTAGCGCCTTGAAATGCGTCTGTCATGGTCTGTGATGAGTCATGTGACTGCTTTTTTGGCAGAACTGATTTGATTCGATTTATGTGAAGAGTCAATCATACTCAGGTCAAACAAGCAGATGGTAACATCTTACATGATCATGCATCTGATCCTGTAAGGTCAGACGAAAAATCGTACAAAAATCGTGATCTCAGATATCTTACATCAAGTTGTACCTTAAAATTCTTGAAAGATCGTGCTGTTTCGTAAGATATTACTATAAGATTATAGAAAATCTTATACCATGGTAAGGTGTTACAAGAATCTTACAGTGCAATTTGATGTAAGACTTCTGAGACCACGATTTTTTGTACGATTTCATCAGATCGTACAAGATCTGATGTCTGATTTTTTGACTTGGATAGCCTAAAAACGAAGTGCACGACAAGATACTTTATACTCTAGACTTTGACAGATGAAAACAACATAAATCAAAATGTATGAATAATAAGCAAGTCCAGGATTGAAAATATCAATCGAATAATTTTCATGATAGCTTGGTACAGTTGAATATGAATGGACTGAATGTGCTTCAATCAAGGAGGAAAAATCTCATGCGGACATTCCGATTCATTTGCATCCCATTCTGAGCCAATTCGAGTCACTATGAACCATTCCAAGCTATTCGAATAGCTTGGAATGAGTTTTTTCCTCATTAGCTTCAGTTGTTCTCGAGCAATCACATAGCTGACGAAGAAAGATTTTTTTTTCTCTTTCATACCGTTCTCTTCTACTTACTATTTGCATTGATTTTTCTTTCCATTTTACTTCTCGTTATCTTCTCGCATGAAAATGGAAACGGAAATCAA